TATTTCATCTGGTTAGGTCCATGTATATCATTCACCATTTATGTTGTTGAAAAGGCATTTATAATGAATAAGTCATTGCAAAGAATTTATCATGTGATCTCTATTACCATGGCCATTACTGTCCAACTACCAACCCTCTTGCTTTGTTTCTGACGTTCACATTCCAATCGCCAGTAATTATCAATGCATCTTGATTGCGTGTTTGATCAACTTCACATTGCGCTCAAAATACAACTGCAGACGAGCTTCCTCCTCAAAGAAGAGTTGCTTGGATGATGTCAATGATAAATACTTTTGGGGACCTTCACTTGCTCTTGTGGCATAACTCAAAAAAGAGAAGAAACAGCTAAAAACATCCATTAATAATCAGAGCATGGTATATACAAAATATGCAAAGTATACTAAAACCAGTCCTAGTGTGGCACTGTAGAATAAAGCACTGTACCACCAGGTTAGTTTGAACCACCAGCTTGGCAGTCAATCCTCAGAAACCCTATCCAGGATTTGTATGAGTCGGAACTGACTCGATGGGACTTAACAACAGCAACAAACCAAACCAAACTGATTGTCACTGAGTTGATTTGGATTCATATTGACCTTATGTAGAGTTTCCAAGACTGTAAATCTTTACGGGAGCATAAAGCCTCATCTTTCTCCTGAGGGGTGGCCAATGGATTTGAACTTCCGACCTTGCTATCAGCAGTCCAGTGCTTATCCTACAGTAACACCAGGGCTCCTTCAACATCTACAACTTTGCTAAATGTGTCTCCTGAGTCATCCCAGGAGAACTGGAAATTATCAAAAATGAAATGGAGTTGCATAAAAAGACATTAGTGGGCTAAAATGGAATGGTTCAAAATATAACATTTTGAATCAGACAGTCATTATCAGTAATGACCAAACTGAAGAGTAAGGTATCAAATTCATGATCAAAAAGAACATTTCATAGAGACACCTTATGATCCAGCAATTCCTCTACTTAGTATTTTACCCACAAGAAATACGAACCATAACACTAGTAGAAATATGCACACCAATTTCATAGCAGCACTGTTTACAATAGCAAAAAGATGGAGACAGCATAAGTACCCTTCAATAGAAGAATGAGTAAACAAACTTTGGTACATACACATAATGAAATATTATGCTACCTTGAAGAATAACAAGGAAGCTGTAAGCCACTGAATAACATGGATGAACCTTGAGGACATTATGCTGAGTGAAATTAATCAGTCACAAAAGAAGAAATACTGCATAGGACCATTATTGTAAAAGATTAAGAAAAAGTACCCACACTAAAAGGGGGGAAAAAAAATAATTTGCTGGTTACACCCAGGTGAATGGGGTAGGGTGAGGGGAGGGAGGGGAAGGTGGAGCACAGAGTAGGGAACAGACATAGGATAGTTTGGGTGCTGGTGTGCGGAGGTGGGGGAGACAATACACTAGAAGGGGGAGGGGAAAAAAAGAACAAGGCAGATGGGAGAACAGTTGGTTTGCATGGGCTGAATGGGACAGAGGTAAATGATAATGTATGCACAACCTTGGAACAACAGGGCTCTGGGATACAGGGATTGAGGCATGGTTTGAATGGGTAAAAGCGGGGAAATAATGTTAAGATACTTGGCTGTCTTTTGAATCTTGGTTTCCCTTACCTACCATTGTAAAACAAATGAGAGACAGGAATAGCCAGAAACATCACCACAGAAAGCTTGAAAGTCCATCACTGGCTTACAACGGATTGTTGTTGTCATTGTTGTTATGTGCCATGGAGTCGGTTCAGACTCATAATGACCTCATACAGGGTTTCCAAGGCTGTAAATGTTTACGGAAGCATAAAGCCTCATCTTTCTCCCGCAGAACAGCTGGTAGTTTTGAACTGCTGACCCTGAGGTTAGCAACTTGATTTGTAACCACTATGCTACCAGAGCTCCTTGGAATACCTAAAATGAGGCTAGAACTTGCCCAGTCAAGGAGGCTTCCTGTGGAGCCTTTGCATTGCATAAGACCATAGGTGGAATCCTGATTCTCATCCAGAACATTTTGAGGTGGGAAATTTCCACTGAAAGGAAAAGCAGACCAGCCTGGAATGACTAGAAGAAACAGAAGATACTTCTAGAAAGTAAGACCAGCAGGAAAAATCAAAACAATAGCGGCAGTCTGATTGAATACTACAAGAACAAGAAAGTCATTTGCCCGGGAGTCATCAAGGTCAGATCCCCTCAGGGCAAACCCTCTTCCAAGACTAAGATTCAAAGGGAATACACAAGCAGGCATGTGGTCTTGCTGGTAACTACGTTGGTCATTGACAGGGGGAAGTGGGGGAAAAACAGCAATGAAGTTGTGAGCTAAGCCCGACCACATACAGCAGACTCCTGTCAACCTGGGTTGAGACAGGGTTGGCCAGCAGTATGGCAAGACCTGGGGACTCCTGGATCCAGGGACAGGGACATGGCCACAGAGGACTAGAGTGGAGAGTGAAGGGTCTGGCTGATATAAAGTGAGGGTAGATACATAAGAACACCCACACTTGCAGATAGTACCCATTTGACCTGGCTTCAATGGCTGGATGACCAGAACTCAACTAGAGGAAGAAAGAAGAGGAAAAAAAGAGTAAGTAATCCACTACAATTTGATGAACTTGACCTATGCTTGTAGATGTAGTAGCTCAAAAGAGGGAACGAATCTTTACAGCGAGGATCATTGCCACCTCCTCAGTACACAGGGTTAACAGGGATGGGCAACTTAGACATTGAATACCCAAAATGGGGGGGAGGGGCCTACAAAGGCACAAAGTGACTGGCTTACAAGCTTTCAAGAGGAAGCCTAGTTTCAGAGGGTACGGGGGAAGGTAGAATCTTCACTGAGTGGTTTCCAACCTGTCTGATTGGGCCTGGTGAAAGGAGATGGGGATAAGACTCTTGTGATTCAATAGTGAATAATTGCTATCACGACTGATTGTGAGTGTTGCAAATGTAAATGTTTTATAGCAAAAGGAGGGGAGTGGTTAATTTTGCAGTCCAGGAGTGGAGGATCCTGGGTCCATCAAGGGAGAAGAGCAGAGTGCGGGACCCTATCCAGAGAAGCAGCGATGCCAGAGATGGAGGCAGAGACAATGACATGGAAAGATGGAGTGGCTGGGGACTCTGGACTCTAGGAGGGAGCTGGTCTGTGTGTTTATGGCCAGGGGGCAGGCTTGTGGGGTGTACCCTTTGGCTGTTTAATGATGTATGCAGGGGTCTGTAATCATTGCAATGAAACGAAATAAGATAGGATGAATGTAAAGCTAATGTCCTCCCATGTAAACTACCACATAATTCACAATAAAAATTTTAAAAAGAAAAATAACTGCAAAAAAAAAAGAACATTTCAAGCTCTGTCATGAAGTACATGATAATATTCATACACCTACAAGGAAGACGAGTTAATATAACTATTACTCAAATTTACACACCAACCATTACTATCAAAAATAAAGAAAGTGAAGATTTTTACCAATTCCTGTAGTCTGGAGATCAACAGCACAATAAAGTAATAATGATAATGAAACTGTCCATTCTCTGTAGAAAGAATGTCACCACTAATCTAAGGGAAAACAGGGACTTGGCACTGTTTCCCTATGGGGAGGCCCAACCACACTTCCATCTAGTACCAACAGGCCAAGCACAAGCATTTATAAAGTGGTTGTTCATACTCAAGGGGGCAAACAATCAGACAAGCCTTCTTTCTATTTCCTAGAGGCAGACCTCTGGGCTAGCAGGGAACCCCAGTTTTCCTTGACATATCATCAAACATCATCATATTTCTTTCTTTTTTATTATTGATATGAAAATAAAATATATAATTCATTTTCCCATTTCTATCTAGTTGATTATTAATAGCCCAACATTTTTTCTTTGAATTGTCTTTTCTTAAATCTTATGATGACATCACCTGTCAGCCTCTCAAAATCACCTGGCTCTTCTTTTCTTTAGAGATGTTAATGGGATTATAATCATAACACTGCCAAAAGAATAAATAGATCTGTGTTAAGAGAAGTGTAGCCACAGTGCTCTTTGGAGACCAGCATGGCCAAACTTCATCTCTCATACTTCAGATATATTGTCAGAAGGGACGAGTTGCTGGAGAAGGATATCATGTTTGGTAAGGTGGAGGGTCAGAGAAAAAGAGGAAGACCCACAGTGGCAAAGTGGCAGCATCAATTGGCTCAAGCGAGGCAACAATTTTGAAGTTGGTCCAGGACCGGGCAGTGTTTTGTCCTGTTGTGCATAGGGTTGCTATGAATCGGTACCAACTCGATGGCACCTAACAACAACAACAACAACCGTAAAGCTACCATTTACCTACAGCAAACACAGCTAAGTCTCTAGATGGTACAAACAGTAGATGTGTTTGGCTGCTAACTGAAAGGTTGGAAGAACAAAACCACCCAGAGGCACCTAGGAAGAGAGGTCTGGTGATTTGCTTCTGAAATGTCAGCCTCTAAAATTCCTCACACACATGGGGTCACCATGAATTGCAATTAACTTGATGACAACTGGCTTTAATTGGCACACCAGCATTTGCCAAGTGCTTTATTTTTATAATCCCTTTAATTCAATTTGTTTTATTTATCATCTCCATTTTCCCCAAGAAGCAAAGTAGGTTCAAGGAGATGAAGTAACTTGTGCATGTTCTGACCACTTGGTGGTCAAACCAGGATTCAAACTCAGGTTTCTTTAATTCTGCAGCCCTTGCTTTTCCCCACCTCTCTATCCTGCCTCTTCGTCAACATAGTTTACTGACTCCTTTAAGAAAGGTGATGCCCAGTCGGGATGCAAAATGGCCCTGCAGCCTCTTCTATCACGTTGGCTAGAGCCTTGCAAAGCCAAGCCTACTTTCCATCCCAGAAATGACCTGTCAGCACCTGTGGCCTCATCAGTGTGAGAACTTGCAGCAAAAGCACATGGACCACCACTGCCCAGAGGCCACAGGAACCAAGACTGGACAGTGGACACACTTACCAGTATGCTTCCGGCTGTGCATCTGTAAATGGGACAGCTTAAAATATCTCTTATTGCAGCCCGGGTAAGCACACATAAAGGGACGTTTTTCACTGGTCTCAGATGCCGACCGGACAAGAGTCGGGGCTACTCCAGGCACACGCCGCACATCCTATAGGCAGATAGGGAATAGAGAAAAGGAGGCTTCACACCACATGGAACATGGGGATAAGACACACATCAGGCCCTATGAAAAGTGAGCACTGCAATACACCCAAATTAGGAATGTCAAATATCTGTCCTAAAGCCATTCCCCTACATAGCCCAGATGCTCACAGCAGACATTACTAGCCGATGATAGACCAGGAAGTTCTACAATGCAGTGCTCTGACATCATCAATACTGATCAACCAATACTGCTATATGAAGTAAAGGTTGCTGACCTAGATCATCTAGAAAACAACTGCTGGTGACTGGGAGAATTCTCAGTTCATCCTGTCTTTCCGCTTTGACCCTTGAAATAGTGAGGACTGGAAGTCCCAAGTTTCAGATTCAAATCTATTACCTCCTACTTGAAGACATGACCACATAGCCATATGCTCTTGGGCCCAATCTGCAATGGATGGGGATGTTTTTATTACAGGGAAAAATATGGGTTACTGAAGGAGTGCCAAACTGCCCACACCCTCCATGTGTAAGTAAAAATAGAAGGAGCTCTTGAAATTTGGAGTTTCTATCTATGGTGGGGAAATTTTTAAAAAAGGGTTGATGATATATTGAGTGTAATCCTTTTAACACTGGCACTGGAGAATGCTGTGGGATCCATCTGCCTTTCCATGTGCTTTACATGCCCCTCACAAGACACTCCCTCAATTCCTTTTATCTGTGTATATTCTACCCATCCTCCATGAAAATGAACTACAAACAAATGGAGAAGCAAGCTCCCCTTCCAGATGTCAGGATCATTGAACCACACGCCCCAAACCCTGGAAGTGCTTTAGGGGCCACTGAATCCTACTTATAGATGTGTGACTCGAGCCCAGGAGGGTGAATGGTTGACACAAGAGCAAATCCTTATTTTGTGCTAAGAGCTGGAACCACATCTTAACCTAATGGACTCCCACCCTTGTTTATTTTCCATTCTGTCCCACGCCATGCTATAGCTCCTGTTTCACACTTGCTTGCATCATGAGGTTACATTCTTAAAAAAAAAAAAAAACCCACCATAGTGACATACAATTTTGCTATTGATAGGCCATAGCTTCCAGGACAAATAGTGGCATACAAACCAAATGGTGAGCCAGCTGTGTTTGACTGAATCTACTCAGGGAGAAAATGAAGAGAGAGCAACACAACATCTGTCCAGTCTGGAGTTCACCAGAGGCCATGAAGCTGAGTGTGACAAACCAAGCTTGGTGGGCAGGAAGGCAAAGAAAGCACTTAACAGTTCCTCTAAGTCTTCTGAAATGCAGCGCTATAGAATCGAGTAGGTAACGTCAGTTAGGGTCTTGCTGGTATCTGATGGAAGAGACTGGATAAACTTCTGAACCTCCACAGGTTTCTGTATTTTGTAATTCTTGCCTTTGTTTCTCGTCATTGGGTGGTTTGGGATGAGGGAGCATGCTGTTCTTGCACTCTGACGCACTACTGGAATCATTAATCAGAACATCTCAGAGCTACTTGTCCCACACATCCTGGGGGGTCTGGCCCACACACAATTTATTTCTAAGGTGCTAACTAGCCCAGTGAAAGTAATACCGGAACTCATGCTGCAGCTACTGAGTCACATACATAAGTCACAAATGCAAACCTTCGGTAAGTGAATGTAGTTCTGACCAGTCAAAAGAAGTTCTGCAAAGGTGGCCTTCTGCTGACTTTCCTGAATTCTTGGAAACTTTTTATTTTTTTACATTCTTCCCTCTCAATGTTCATGGTTCTATGTCTCCCCCAGGAAGCAGTAAACCATGCTAGTTAAAAAACAAGGGCTGTAGAGTCAGACAGACTTGTTATAAACCTCAGATCCCCAGCTTCCTAGCTCTGGAATTTTGTCCAAGTCATCCCCGTCTCTGAACATCAGTCTCTTCATCTATACAACATGGGGATAATAACTACTGTACCTATCTCATATTGGTATAAACAAAAAAATCCAAGCTCACTGCCAGTGAGTTGATGCCAACTCATAACAACCCTATATAGGGTTTCCAAGACTTTACATTTTTATAGGAGCAGATGGCTTCATCTTTCTCACAACAAGCAACTGATAGTTTTGAACCACTGACCTTTTGGAAATAATGGGGGGAAAAAAAAAAGTCCTTGTATAAAACAGCACAATTCCTAGACTATAATATAAACAGCACTCAGTCATAGATGATATTATTATTATCAACATGTGGTAGGACATTTAGTCACTCTACAATGCAGAGTAAATCTTCTTACAAGTCAAGGGTCCAGGTCATTAAGTAAAGTCCAATGAGCCCAAATACCAGAGCTATGCATGCAGTCCTTCCCTGGAGAAGGTGAATTAAGCAGAGAAAGAGGAAAGAGGACATTCTGCAGGAAGCATCTTGGTGTGAGTCAGGGGGCCCATGATGATTGGATTGGTCCTTGACATCACCGAGTCTATAATTAAGAACAGGCTTGTCTATGCCAAATGGTCCATCAAGAAGAAACAGAAAAAGGATGTTGAGAAGGGAAAAAGGCAGTGTGTTCCCGATCCAGCTACAGCATCACCGAAATACTCACCTGAATGCCCCTGAAGACGCCATGAGTGTGTATTCTGTACTGGGCACCACAGAGGATGGGTGTAGTATGGTTATCACTGTCGTACCCTGTGCCGTGGCTGCAAACACAAGGAAGAGAGAACAAGACTCAGGGTTGGCTCAGAATTACCATTTGGAAATATTTATCTGTTTTCTAAAAAGCTCAAGGACAAAGATTAGTTGCCTTTTGCCTCCCTCCACAGTGTTTCTTGGGAAGCAGGGCTCTAGCAGGGCTCTGTGTAGGGCAGCTGCTCAGTCCTGGAGTAAAACCACCAGGCAGCCCTCACTCATCCTCAGGCTCTCTGAAGCACGTTATCTGGGCCTTTGCCTTTCTAAGACAAGCAGGGAAACGTCACAGTGGCAGAATTTCATTCCCAGAAAGTTGTTTACTGTCAGAACACAGAGCTGACAGCTGTGAATATATCTCAAGAATGAGCCGAATGCCTCAAGTTTCACATCGATCGAGTACACTGGGTTTTTGTCAGCACTTCATGACTCAGTTTTTACCAGATCACACCAGGAAAGTGATGACACTTACAAGAAGAGATGTCACGCCCTCACAAGTGGGGATTGCATACACACAGATGAGCTTCCCAGATCAGTTTAACTCCTCGTACACAACTCATGTCATAAGTGGACACTGGATAATTATTTTGTGTTAGACTGACTGGCCCCCTGCTTGAGGACCAAATTAACATTCCCAAGGGTTGTGGCATGTTGCAATGAACAACTTGGAAGAAGTGGATGTTCTGTTATAAAAATATTCTCTCCTTCAGGTAAAATGCTGAAATCGGATCTACAGTTGTTCTACTTCCAAGTGAGGCAGTGTGAGAATTTGCTCTGCTGCCAGCACATCAGACTCTTCTAGAATTATCATGGGGAGATGGGAAGAAGTACCCTTTATGAAATAGGGCAGCTGCTTTGGAAAGCAATCTGGCAGTTCCTCAGAAGGTTAAAAACAGAGGTAACCCACCAATTCTACTTGTAGGTATATATCCAAATGAAATGAAAAATATACATCACACACACAAAAAAAAAACTTACCTGCAATTGTTCACAGAAATGTTATTCAAAAATGGAATAGTGGGAACAAGTCAAATGTCCATCAACTGATGAATGGATAAACAAATTGTGATACCATGCACAATGGAATACTACTTGGCCATAAAAAGGAATCAAGTACTGATACATACTACAACATGAAAACATTAAGTGAACGACATCAGTAACAAAAGACCACAACTTGCATTATTCCATTAATAGAAAATGTGCAGAACAGGCATATCTACAGAGTCAGAAAGTAGATTAATGGTTGACTATGGGGAGAGTGGCGTCCTGGTGTGGTGCTGTGGGCTAATGCACTAGACTGCAAAGTTGATTTGAACCACAAGGTTAGCAGTTCAAGCTCACCAGCCAGCCATTCCTCAGAAACCCTATATGGGATCACTATGAGTGGGAACCAACTCAGTGGCACTTAACAACAACAACGAGGAGTGTGGTAGTTCTTTAGGATAAGCACCGGGCTATTAGCCAAAAGGTCGGTGGTTTGAGCCCACCAGCCATTCCCCTAGGTAGAAATATGAGGCTTTTCAACCTTGGAAACTCTATACAGACAGGGTTCCTATGAGCTGAAACCAACTCAACAGCACTTAACAACCACCACAATGGAAGCAGCAATCAAGAAATCAAATGACATACTGCATTGGGGAAATCTGCCGCAAAAGGCCTCTTTAAAATCTCAAAAGCACAAATGTTACTTTGATGACTGAAGTGTGCCTAACCCAAACCATGGTATTTTCAAATCACATCATATGCATGTGCAAGCTGGCAATGAAAAAGTTAGGAGAAAGAATTGAAGCATTTGAATTATGATGCTGGCAAAGAATACTGACTACACTGTGGACTTCTACCAGAACAAACAAATCCGTCTCAGAGGCAGTGTAGTCAGAATACCCGAGAGTGAGGATGGGGAAATTTCGTCTCGCTTTGGACACATTATCAGAAGCAACTAAACCCTGGAAAAGGACATCATGCTCAGTAGATGCTTTGGCATTAACAGGTCAGTGAAAGGAGGAAGATTCTTAATGAGATGGATTGACACAGTGGTTGTAACAATGGACTCAAACATACACGAGGTGTGAGGATGGCACATGACCAGATAATGTTTCATTCTGTTATACACAAGGTCTCTGAGTTGGAGTCAACTTGACTGCGAGTTGGAGGAAAATGTGGAATGATTGCTAAAATTGTTCTAAAATTGTGGTGCTGGTTGCACAACTCTATGGATATATTTTCTAAAAATCATTGAATTGCATACTTTAAGTGGATGGACTATATGATATGTGAAATTTACACAGTTGCTTAAAAAAATACCTCTGGAGGGCGGGACCCAACATCAGCATCCAAGTAAGCCTATCGCCAACTAAACCGATGGGGTGAAGAACTTCCATTCTCTGCCCACATAACCCTGGAGATTCCAGGAATCCCATTATGGGAAGTGGGTGATTTGGTTGTTCAGCCACATTCATCTGGTGGGATGCAGAAAAAGCCTGGGGCTGGCTCAACTCACTCATCCAGGAGAGAAAATTCGTGGAAGGGAAGAGTATCTGCCAGGGCGTCTAAAATGTCCACAAATCCTGGGACCACAGCAGCTGTGAGGTTTCACATTTAGATTTGATTCCAAATTTCCAGAACTTGTTTTCTTTACAAGGAGTGGTGGTAACAAGTTTGGGAGATGGATGGCATTTCTGCTGCCCCTAACCTACTACTTGGTGTTGGCATATTAAAAGTACCATGGACTGCCAGAAGAACAAACAAACAAATCCACCTTAGAGGAAGTAGCCAGAATGCTCCGTAAGACGTGAGAAAGGTAAGACTTCATCTCACAGATTTTAGACATGTTATCAGGAGGAACCAGTTCCTGGAAAAGGACATTGTTCTTGGTAAAGGAGAGCGTGAGAAAGAGGAACCCCTCAATGAGATGGATTGACACACTGGGCTGCAATAATGACTTCAAACATAACAATTGTGAGCATAGCACAGGACTGGGCAGTATTTCATTGTTTTACATAGGGTCACTATGATTTGGAAGCGACTCGACATTACTTAACAACAACAACAACCTCGTCTCCACATTCTTCAATGTCCACATCCTTGACATATCTACAGGAAAATGTATCAAAGAGACAAACCAGGATGAAGTACACCAAGAAAATAGGGGACAAATGTCAAACCCAGCTAGTGTTTGCTGGCCTTTCTGACCTGTAGAATGTGTTTTCCAGAAAAAGAGGCCGTGTCGACCTTCTCTACAGTTATACTATATGAACATGAGGGAGTGAGAACTGGTGCCAAGTGGCCAGTGGTAGCAGAAAGATAGCTGGACCACAGTGGTCTTATCAAAATATTTGACTCAGAAGCTATGAAGGGATTCTGTCTTGGCCAGTTCAACCTTCTGTGTGAAGTCAAAATGTGGCTTACACATCCTAGTGTGGGGCACTGTGGGCTACAGCTCTGGACTGCAAGGTCAATTTGAACCACAAGGTCGGCGGTTCACACTCACCAGCCACTCATTGGAAACCCTATACAGAGACGCTTTGAATCAGAACCAACTTGACAGCACTTAACAAAAACAAAAGGATACCAGTTATTGTTGTTAAGTGCTACTGAGTCAGTTCTGACTCATAATGACCCTGTATAGGGTCCCCAGGGAGCAGCTGGTGAGTTTGAACTGCTGACCATGTGGTTCACAGTCCAATGCTGATCCTACAAGCACCACACCAGGAGTCCAAGGGATACTTGTTTTGGTGTGCCATCAAGTCAGTTCCAACCCTTAACGACCCTGCGTAGGGTTTCCTAGGTGAGCTTGAACCACCAACCCTGCTGTTCAAACCAACTTTGCAGTCTAGCGTATTAACCTACAGCACCACATCAGAACTCTAGAAAATAGTTTGCTGTTAAGTGCCATCGAGTCAGTACTGACGCATAGCGACCTTATGTTCAACAGAAAGAAACACTGTCCAGTCCTGGCCCAACCTCACTACCGTTGCCACACTTGAGCCCATTGATGCTGCCACTCTGCCAATCCACCTTGGCCTCCAAGGAGCACTCTGCACTTCTTCCAACACAGATCTGTTGGTTCTATGGGCAGCCTATGGCACTTTCAATAGTCTCCTCCAACACCATAACTCAAAAGCATCAATTCTTCTACAGTCTTCCTTATTCACTGTCCAGTTTTCGTATGCATATGAAGTGATTGAAAATACCATGGCTTCTTGGGTCACGCACACCTTAGTCCTCAAGCTGACATCTTTGCTCTTCAACACTTTAAAAATGTCTTGTGCAGCAGATTTGCCTAATGTAATACGTCTTTTGATTTGACTGCTGCTTCCATGAGTGTTGATAGCTGATCCAAGAAAAATGAAGTCCTTGACAACTTCAATTTTTCTCCGTCGATAAGAACGTTTTTTTATTGGACCAGTTGTGAGGATTTTAGTTTTCTTTACATTGAGACGCAATCAATACCGAAAGCTGTGCTCTTTGATCTTCATCAATAAATATTTTAAGTCTTCACTTTCTTACTAAAATAGTGGAAATCTAGTTTTCTTTCACATTCTGCCTTTAAAGGGGAAGATTTGAAACCTCCTGTCTTAACAACTCTTCTCTGGAGGCTTGATGGGTTCCTTGAGTGTGGGGAGCATGAGAGTAGACTCTCCTCAGGATATTTGTTCCAAAGAATGAAATATTGTGATACTAAAAAGAAATGACATGAATTCACGACCAGACACAAAAACAAAAGAAGTAACCAGGAACAAGATTGTACCTGCTGAACATGCCATTAGATTCTTCTTTCAGGCCCGTGAATAAGAAAAACAGAAGGGTCACTGCCTATTGGTCCTTGTTGTCTCTGTAATATTAATGCACCAATCTAATCCATGAGTATCTAATCCCAGTATGACTGCCCGAAACAATAAATTGTTGTTGTTGTTAACTGCCATCAAGTTGGTTCTGAATCATAACAACCCTGTATAGGGTTTCTGAGACAGGAATAGAAAGTATCATCTTTCCCCTGTGGAGTAGCTAG